TCTCATCGTGTTCGATAAGAAAATTGATATAAAATCCTTTCGTTCATTTGTTCTTTCTTTTCTTTTTCCTTTCCTTTCCTTTCCTTTTTTTTCTTTCTTCCTTTCTATTAAATTTCTTGGTGGTCCTAAAACCGACGACGATTATATTCTGGTTCTGATCGAGGACGAAGAAACTCGTGCCTAGGAGGACGAGGTCGACGTCGAGGACCACCACGGTCACTGTAGCCTTGGTGACCAATATTGCGCCGCCATGTCTGGTGCTGGTTGTCCTGGCACTGCGATCGGTACGCTCACGCCCGGTGATATCAGACCTGGGAACAGTATGTTGATATATTTGTTATTGGTTGTATTGATTAATAGATATATTAATAGATATATTAAAGAGAAATTGGATACGTTTAGGATTATCTACGATAGCGGCATTTGTGCTAATGTATTTGTTCCGTATATGATATATATATGCATATATTTGTATATGTATATATATATATGAATATGTACATGCACTAAATAATATTTCATGCTAAGTTACTAGAGTGGAGTATTGATACGAAAAAAGACAGAAGTAACGAGAGAGAGAGAGAGAGAGAAAGAAAGAGAGGGAGAGAGAGAGAGAGAGGGAGGGAGACAGAGAGATTTAAATGTTGATTATTTGAAGAACGAACAAACGTAAGGTTAGAGATTTGTCGTAAAAATAATGAGACTTCTACGTAAACGCATAGAAATAACGTTGAACAAACTTTCTTAATGATATTAATATTACAATGATAAAAATAAGTAATAAAAGGACTCATTAGTTTTAGAACAACACATGTATTTGTAGTGAGAAAGAACAACAACAATAAAAAAAAAAAGAAAACAAAAAAACAGAGAAAAGAAAAAAGATGAGAAAATCGCGTTAGATGCAAAAGCGAGAATCAGTTCCATTACCGGCAGGCTCGATAGCGTGTTATCCGTGGTAGCCATAGTAGTAGTCCATCGGCTAAAGCGCAAGCAGCGAGTGCAGTGAGTGCGGTAGACACTCACCGGTCGAGCTGGCGTTCTGATTGTACTGATTAAGGCCCGCGGTGTGGTAAGGCTGGGTCGGACTGCAGGTTGGCCTCGCACCGTATCCCAAATGAAGCGGCTCGTAACTTGGTGGTCGTGCTACGCCACAAGAGTAACCATTGTCACGTTGTTGAAGGCACGCGCCAGGACTAGGGCCAACAGTCATGCCAACCGTCATTCCCATTGGACCCATGCCACCTCCCGATAGCGAGCCTGATAACGAACCCGAAAGAGACCCTGACAGTGAAGACATGCTGCTGGTCGTATGTTGATTCTGTTGGCTGCCACCTGACATCGTGAAACTTGGCATTGATGTCATGGGACTGGAAAAATAAAGAAATGGAATTATTATTATTATTATTATTATTATTATTATTATTATTATTATTATTATTATTATTATTACTATTATTACTATTATTATTATAAGGAGGAATAAAGTTGTATTGAATCTGGAAAATATCGTGTAAATAAATTCTTTACTTTGTATAATCGCAACAAAAATATATCCATATCGTAATAATATCATTATTTCGTTTTCTTACCTGTAAGAGTCCGGCATGCTAGGTATTCCTGGATAAACAGCGGTTGGTGCAAATCCATGATGTATTCTGGGTGGTGACGGTGGTGCCTGTGGTGGTGCCTGTCCACCAAGAATACCAGTCGGTGGAGGTGGCGTAGGATGACCAGCACCCACGAGACTAACACCTCCCGTATGAGATTGTTGCTGTTGCTGTTGAGCCTGTGACTGTTGCTGTTGCTGTTGTTGTTGCTGTTGTTGTTGTTGCTGTTGTTGTTGCTGCTGTTGTTGCTGTTGTTGCTGCTGCTGCGGGTTGTCCCTCCGTTGCGTACGCAATTTCTCCTCTCGTCTCCACTTTGCCCGCCGATTCGAAAACCATACCTGAGTTAGTGAATGAGAAGACAGACGAAGATACAGGTCAATCGCTAGGCTACAGATATACAGGACGACGATTCGAATCCGTGATAGAATAAATCCCGATTTTCTCGAACTTCGACGACCATGTTATAATATTTGAATTTCTTTTTTTTTTTTTTTAATTTGAATACATAAACGAACACAACGCACACGCACACGTACACGCACGCATACACGAACTCGAGCACGCACGCCCGCACACGACATTGACAGAAGAAAAAGAAGAGAAAAAAGATTAAAAAGATTTTGTAGTCACCTGTATTCGAGCTTCCGGTAGGCCAATCTTCCCAGCGAGTCGTTCTCTTGCAAATACATCCGGATAATGCGTCCTCTCGAATTCCTTTTCAAGAGCATCGATTTGCTCGTTGCTGAAGCTCGTACGATTCCTCTGAAGCTTTCTCTTAAGTCGTAAACGTGCTTGATCATCGTCTGCACCACCAGATACACTGCCGGCGTTACTGTTGTCACCGCCGCTGTTGGTCTCGTCAGAATGAGCGCCTCCTTCGAGTTCAGCCACTGAAATATCGAACATAAAATTAGATAACTATAGCAAGATACATACATACATATATACATATATATATATATATATATATGCAGTATAAAATTTCAAATGTATAAGGAATATCGTCGTAAAATTGTAAATAAAGAAAATTTATTAATTCCTGTAAATATTTCTGCGAAGTTCATATTCGAAAGAAAATAAAGTAAACAGAAAATATAATCCGATATATTTTATTCTCGTCGATCTATTCACTTTTTCTTCGTCATTTTTATCTTTTTCTATCGCATTAGAATGAAAATTAGATACGCGAAATATAAGATCGATCCTAGATTCAGAAGATTATCATTCTTAAAATGAAGTAAACTCTGTCGATAAGATTATTAATCGACATTTCTTTATCATTTTAATATCTACTACTTTTTCATCTCTCTCTCTCCCTCTCTCTCTCTCTCTCTCTTTCTTTTTCTTTTTTTTCATATTCGAACAAAAGTATGCGAAATGTAAAATCGAAGGATCGATATTGTCGGGAACTACCACTCTAAGCTTTCTAAAAACACATTTCTAGCGAGAAAACGAACGAAAGAACGAACGAACGAATGAACGAACGAACGAACGAACGGACGAATGAACGAACGAAGTCTCCTTTCGTCCCTTTCCTCTCATCACACCGTCCCATCAAACATACGAGTTAGTCTCGTATGCTTCTTCTCTCTCTCTCTCTCTCTCTCTCTTTCTCTCTTTCTATATCTTTCTCTTTCTCTCTTTCTCTTTTCGTAACTATCTATCTATCTACCTACCTCTATCTTTCTCCCTCTTTCTCTCTCTCTCTCTCTTTCTCTCTCTCTCATGTGGAACGACGAGTAGTAGGTGGTAGGTAGAGTCAGGCAAGCAGGCAGGCAAGCAGACAGGCAGGCAAGCAAGCAAGCAAGCAAGCAAGCAAGCATCGCCCGGCGAACCTTATCGTCGGTTTCTGGGTGAACGCGTCGAGGCGTCACTGGATTTTGGCTTGGCATTGGAAGAGAAAGAGAAAGAGAGTGGAGAGAGAGAGAGAGAGAGAGAGAGAGAGTGAGAAGAGTAGAGAGGAGAGGAGGGTATCGTGCGATAAGACGCCGGCCGTCCCGACGCCAGTCGCTGGCCACCCTCGTACGATACGCCCCTGTCACCCTCGAAGGACCACCCTCTCACTATCTCTCTCTCTCTCTCTCTCTCTCTCTCTCTCTCTCTCGTTCTACCTTTATTTCCCACTACTCTCACTATATCTATCTTTCTCGCACGTTTCTACGACGCTCTATGATTCCATCTTTCTCCCTCTCTCTCTCTCTCTCCCTCTCTCACTCTTTCTCTTTCTCTTTCTCTCTGTCTGTCTCTCTTTATGTCCCTCTCTGAAACTGACGTTTCTCTCTCTTTTCCCGTGTCGTTACCTTCTTCGTGCCTTCGGCGTTAATGGAATCCTGATAACAACCCTCGTGTCTCTACCCTCCTCTTCCTCTCCTCTCTCTCGCGCGCTCTCTCTCTCTCTCTCTTTCTTTCTTTGTATATCTATCTATGTATATCTATCTTTCTCTCTTTCTTCTTCGTCTATCGCACGTTTCTCTTCCCAAGTCGCTCGTGAACTGACAAGTCTACGTGTCTATACATGACAAAACCTTCGAACCCTCTTTCTCTCTCTCTCTCTCTCTCTCTGTCTTTCTATCTATCTTGCTCGTTCGCCGTTCGACATCCGGCGACTGTACTCTATTATCGAGGAAATCGCGTAGTTTCACTTTCGTCCTTCCTCGAGACCGGATGACACGATCCTTCGAAGAACTTCTACGAACATTAGACGTGAGCTTATCCGAACGTGTTTTGATTTTATTTAGTTATCATACGGATATATGTATAATAGTTAAGAGAAATATATAGAGTTATGAATTCGAAAAGAAGAAATCCTTTTTTTTTTTTTCTTTTTTTTTTTTTTTCTTTAGATTTATTCGATCAATTTCATATATTATTTAAATCATTCGTTTCATTGATAATGTACGATCTTATTGTTAAAATTCGTGAAGATGATGAATGAAAATGAATTACGTGAATAATAAGTTGAAAGATTAATCCTGAATCTTTTAATTACTATCTCTCTCTCTCTCTCTCTTTCTCTCTCATGTATATATGTATGTATGTGCGTGTATGTGTGTGTGTCTATATGTATAAGTTCGTGTATAGGAATGTTAGCGTTTGTACGAGGACGCGTGCGCAACTCAATGTAACCTTTCCACCCTTTATATCGGTCGCCGTTTAACGGTCTTGGAGAAGGAGAAAGAGGAGGAAGAGAAGGAGATGGCAGGAAGAGTAGGAGGAGGAGGAGGAGGAGGAGGAGGTGGAGGAGGAGGAGGTGGAGGAGGAGGAGGTGGAGAAGAGAGAACATCCCTACACCGCATTCCCCTTTCGCCCCGTTCGTTCGTTCGTTCGTTCGTTCGAGCTCGAGCTCGAAGTTCGCCATAGCCAACCCTTCGTGATCCGCGAGAAGTTTATTGGTAGGAGAGTGGCTGCCTGCCAGCTTCTTCGAGGGACGAGAAACATCTCTCGCATCTGGGTTCAACCTCTTATCTTCGCTTATCCTTTTATATATAACGCATTGTGACTTTCAGTCAAACGTATCATATATATATATATATATGTATATGAGATAGATATAGGTATATTATATTACATTAATATTTCTAATTTTTAATTTCGTTTCTTTGACAGTGTCGAAACGCATAGAAAAAATAATTTTAATACGATCATTAATTGTACATATATCCTATAAATTTTTACTAAAACAATTTACCTTTCGACGTTTTCGAGAAAATAATATAATAAAATATACGATAAAATAGACGGTGATATTGTTCATAATTCGAATGCTTCTTCATATCTTTAAAGAAATAGTTTAACCAAAGAAAAAGAAAGAGAGAGAGAGAGAGAGAGAGAGGGGGGGGGGGGGGGAGAGAGAGAGAGAGAGAGGGGGGGGGGGAGAGAGAGAGAGAGAGAGAAAGAGAAAGAAAGAAAAAGACTAATAGAAAGAGACAAAGACAGAGAAAGGTATAATATATTTTCGTAAGAGTTCTCCCTCGTCGTTAACGTTAAACGGTTAAAGGGAAATCTACGTAGAAAAAAAGATGGTAGAAAAGAAGAGTATAAAAAGAGAGAGAGAGAAAGAGAGAGATGTTAGAGCAGGTAAGAGAAAAAGAAGGAGAAGGAAAAGAAGGAGAAGAAGTATGGAGAGCATGGTTTCTTTAAAGGGAAATGTAAGAGAGAGAAAGAGATAGAGAGAGAGAGAGAGAGAGAGGACTGGGGTGCGAAGCGTCCTCGAGTAATGGCTGCGGCACACGAGTGGGGGTTTGAGCTTTATTAACGCCGATAATGGGCGCCAGTGCACTTAGCTAAACGTTAAAGCTCGCCAGCGAATTATAGGAAGGTTGGTTATTGTCCTACCTTCTGGGTTCGATAGTTAGGACAATGCGTGTTCTAGAAGTCAGTCTCGAACTTTAGTACTAGTAGTTTATTTGTGATCACCGAACATGGAATACACACACACACTCAGAGAGAGAGAGAGAGAGAGAGAGAGAAAACCAAAGTATATATAGTCAGTTCGAAGAGAATCGAACGAGTGCATAAGAAAACGAACGAAAGGTTGAAAGGTATGAACAAAAAAAAAAAAGAAAAGAAAAAGAGAAAAAGAAAAAAGAATGAGAGAGAGAGAAAGAGAGAGAGAGAATGTGAAACCTCTTGAACTTCGACTTCGCTTCAATTTCTTTTTTGTAACACGCGAGCAACACTCGAACGAACGAACGTACGTACGTATGTACGAACGAACGAATGAACGATTGGAACGAGCAACTATAGCCCTTTTTACTTTACTATACTATATAGGCAATAGGAAACAATGCTACACTTTGGTTAGTATGAAGCAACAATAACGCGTGTAATGCGTGCCACGAAATGGTCTACGATTGAGTGCATTCGTGCGAGATCAACTTCTCGATCGTAACGTTGATCTAAATCATAAAAGGGAGAACCCACTTCGGTCTTTTTCTCTTTCTTTCCCTTTTTTTTTCCTTTTCCCTTTTTTTTTTCTTTCTTTCTTTCTTTCGTCTGTTTCTTTTTTTTTTCTTTTTTTTTTCAAAGACCATACGAAAAGTGGCGAACGTTGGCGATATTGGTTGAACGCACCACGTACGAGCAACACACGACACGGCTTATTATTTGAGCGTTATTAATACAATTGACTTTTGATTTCTTTTCATTATCCATTTTCGACACTCCTCTTAATTCCGCAACTACGATTTTTTTGTTTTTGTTCTTGTTCTTATTTCTTTTTTCCTCTCTCTCTCTTTCTCTCTCTCTCTCTCTCTTCCTTTCGTTTTATCTTTTTTCTCTTTCCTTTTTTATCCTTCTTTTTCGTCTTTCTTTCTTTCTTTCTTTCTTCTTTTTTTTTTCTTTTTTTCATTAGCAAAGCTTATTTGCGATTGCAATACCACGACCGCGTGCGAATCAAGTGTACGCGCGTTCAAGATTATTATTCTTAACGCTTCGTTGCCCGACTGATATACGAACGAGGAATCACCACGTTTCATTGGCCACACGTCTTGCTTAAATGAATTTCATTTAAGCAAGAACGAAAAGAAAAACTACTACACATTTTCCAACTTCTACATTTCCAACGAAAAAAAAAAAAAAAAAAAAAAAAAAAACAGAAAAAAAGAAAAAAGGAAAATAAAGACAAATCAAAATGTTCAAGGAAACGTTCGATATTACAATCGAATATTTTCAATTGATATAATTGCTAATTAAATGATTGACATTAATGTTAATTATTTTAATATTAATAACGTGTATAAATTGTGTAAATAAACGTAAGAAAATATAAAACTGTATGTTACTTTGAATATATTAAACAAAAAGAAAAAAAAAAAAAAAAAAAAAAAGAAAAAATAGAGACATAAATGAAAAAAGAGATACACATTAAAAGTAATAAATTTGACATTAG